GGTAAATAACACTTCCTTAATTTGTTCTTTACCAGAACATCCAAAAAGCTGTGGCAAAAGTCACCTTCCTCCCCTGCTATTCAGCCCACATCACTGACTTATTTGTTTCCAGGGATGATCACAGTGTGCTAGACACTAGGGATGTAAAGGGTTAAGTGGGTAACTGGTTAACTGGTGGCCTGGCTGGTCTATGCTGAATTGCTGTGGGCCCAGCCCCGCTTGAGCAGCCCCCCAGGCTCCACCATCCATGGCACAGTTGGTTCAGTCATCCCAGCTTGGGCGGAGCAACCCAGGGTGGAGTAGGAGTTACTGTGTGCAGGGGGCTGCTCCAGCCTGGCTGGGCTGGAGAGACCCCCTTGTCTGTGGGATCCTGGTTAACCAGCTCAATATAACGTTTAACCATTTAACTTTTAAAAAGGGATTTTACATCCCTACTGGACACTGTACAAACAGAAAGGAAGGCACAGTTGCTGTCCCCACTACAAAGATTTTACAATTTAAAAAGGGAGACAAAGGCTCTTTAAAGAAACACATAAGCAATGTGCTCAATGTGGTGATTGGCCTTCCCTTGAGTAGCTTGCTTTTTTGTTTGTTTGTTTGTTTGTTTGTTTGTTTCACAAACATACACCCTGTCTCCAGTTGCCTCTTGTCTTGCAAGAAGGGAGCTGGTTAAAAGGTGGAGACAGGAACCATATGCAGTAGTACTATATGTAGACAGGCTGTGACTGCCAGACATTAAAAGTCTATGTAGGACTTGTGGGGGACCAGGAGTGCCTGAGCAGAGAACAAGTGCAGAGGGAGCCCAGTGATACACTTGTCTACACATACTGCTGCATAGATTGATGTCCTGGGATTCGATTTAACGTGTCTAGAAAAGACCTGCTAATTTGATCACTGATCACGCTCCTGTTGACTCTGATAATCCACTGGACCAAGAAGAGAAAGGGAAGTCGATGAGAGAGTTTTTCCTGTTGAGCCCTCAAAGTAGGGATGCTGTGGTAAGTTGTAGCTGTAGCTATTCATGTAACTGGACTTGCGTATCTTAGTTTGACATTGCTCGCTAGTCTGGACCTGGCCTATATGAGCCTGCCTGGAAACCCACAAGATCCTATTTGATATGAATAACAGAGACTGGACCAGAGAGGGCACCTTAGGCATTAGGTCTGAAGAGCCCCCACTCTTTACTGCACCACCTCCAAGGACCCAAATGCTTACAATAATTGCTCACTTAGAATTGCAACTTTTTAATCCAAGGCTCTGTACAGAGGGTATTTGCAAGTTTTCCTTTTCCTTCCAGCCCAAGTAAAATATCCTTTCCCTTAGCTGTGATGTCTGAGTAGTTTGGGAACCCCCCAGGGCTAGTGCTTACAAGATCTTGCTGCTGAAGCACATATAGTTTATGTTCAGGAATTGTACTTGAAGCCAGCAGTCTTTAACTGGCTATATGATCCAAATTGATTGTCTCTGGGCTGTTATTCTCTAATAAAGCCTGCTGACTGGGATGGATTAAGCAAAATGCATCAGTGTTTGCAGTGAATCTCATAGACTTTAGGATCAAAAGGGACCATCATGATCTAGTTGCCTGCACATTGCAAGTTGCAAAATTCTCTCCCATTCCTGTAATTAGTGGTGCCGTGGCAATGCTGAAGGTGGAAATCATGGATTTGGGTTGTCATTATTGTTTCAAGCCAGGTAGTGTGGCAGTACCTGCAGCACCCCCATTCCAACACCTATGTCTGTAATTAAACCCCAGGCTCTGAAGTCCTCAAATCATGATGTTAAGACTCTGCAGGATCAGCCAAGTGCTTAAAGAAGCAGATGCACCAGCCCCCTCCATGGTTAAGCCCCACTGAAGGCAGGGGAGGTGAGAGGCCGAGGGTTGGTCACTCGATAAAAGCCCATCTGTCTGAGCGCTGCAAGCTGGGGGCGAAGGGCGCTGCTATTAAACCCCAGGCTCTGAAGTCCTCAAATCATGATGTTAAGACTCTGCAGGATCAGCCAAGTGCTTAAAGAAGCAGATGCACCAGCCCCCTCCATGGTTAAGCCCCACTGAAGGCAGGGGAGGTGAGAGGCCGAGGGTTGGTCACTCGATAAAAGCCCATCTGTCTGAGCGCTGCAAGCTGGGGGCGAAGGGCGCTGCTGGGCCACTACACTGCAGCGGGCTGAGCGGCCACGTGCGCCCAGGCCCCAGGGGAGGCGGGGCGAGGGGAAGGCCGGGGGCGGGCAGGTGGGAGGCACCGCAGGAGTCTGACTCCTCCCCCGGAATAAAGAAGAGGCGCTGCGGGCGCCGGCCGCGATGGCCTGGC